TAACAGTCTCGCTTCTTAGCACTTTTTGATGGATTCTCCAGGGACGTCTCTAAAAGAGAGTTATACCTTAATTTAGAAGCAAATAACTCAAAAACTCTGTGATGTGGCAGGTTCCTTTGGAAAAGAGATGAATGCAAAGAAGCCACTGCTGTGTGAAGCTGTGGCCATGCTGGTCCAGGGCCTGCCGATGGAACCATCTAGACCTCAACCTCGAGGTGTGCCTCCTGCTGCCTCTTGCCCACGGGGCCAGGGATCAGGGTCCAGGGGCTGCTGAGGGTCCACAGACCAAGAGGCAAGAAGCAACACATTCACTTTGGGCTCCCTGGGCCAAGGGGCCAAGGTGAAACTCACAGGCTGAGCCTGACTGACTCCAGTGGCCCTGAGAACCCAATGCAACACAGCCGCCCACTCAGGGAAGGGAGGAGAAATGTTGTGGTGAGTGGGCAGTGGGCAGGTTGCAGCCCACCCTCCAGGCCTTCCTTCTCCACAGGGGCCACCATAGCCCCAGTATTATCCTCTAAGTCCCCGTAACCAGCCAGCTTTCTGGGTACTCACTTGGGCATCCACATGGTTTTAATGCTCTGCTGTCACTGTTTCAAACTGCATAATTTTAGTTTTACTTTTGTAGATACAGGGTCTTACTATGTCGCTCAGGCTGGTCTCAAACTCCTGGCTTCAAGTCATCCTCCTACCTCAGTCTCCCAGAGTATAGGATTACAGGTGTGGGCCATCATGTCAGGCCCTTAATCATTTTCAAACGGGGGCCCCAAAAATCATGTGGCCAGTTGTGCCCTCATTGCTCAGTCCCTGGGCATGCCCCGCCTGCTTGACACAGGGGACTTGCCCTCTGGGACCCACCCCTTTCCAGACTCCCCAGCCACCACTACGACTGTGCTTCCACCTTACTTGCTTGCCAATCCTCAATCTCTCTTTCTGGATGCTTCTCAAATCATCCTCCCCGCAGTAGAGGCCCTGGGGCCCAGCTCAGCCTCTTCTGATCCTATCTACCCTTGAACCCTAAGTGACCTCACATGGTCCCTGGCCTCCCACACACCTCAGTGCCAAGGGCTCCAGGTTGCCACCTCCAGCCTCACTCTCCCTCTGGCTACCACATGTGCCCATCAATGGCTCCCTATGTCTCAGAGCCACCTCCTAATTCCCCACCTCTCAAGAATGGGTCTTTCTGCATCTTGCTTCTCAGCCAATACCAGCTCTGTCCTTCTACTGGCTCAGACCAAAGCTGCAGCTACCCTTTAAAAGGTGCAGCTTTTAAAAACTAATCTCCCACCTGCATTTCTCAGGGCCTCCAGAGCTCCCGCCCCTGAGTCAGCAGCCTCTCTGCCCAGAATGTTGCAATGGGCCCTGATAGCCCCCAGTCTCGTCCTACCTTAGCCTATTCTCCCACCTCAGCAGAGAGATCTTTTCCAAGTGTAGATTGGCTCCAGTCTCTTCTCTGCCCCAACCCTGCCAAGGTCTTCCTGTCTCCTTGGAGCCTGCTGAGTCCGGCAGGACCTGGCCCTGAGACCCCATCCACGCCCCTACACTGGGTGCCAGCCACTCTGGTAGGGCCTCCAGGGGCCAGGAAGTGTCTGCTCAGTGCCTTTGCACCTGCTGTCCCTCCCCTGCTCAGCCACACCACTCACCCAGCACCTCTCCAAGGCACTGCGTCAGCCCTCCCCACCCCCATTCCTTGCCCTCCACCTTCTGCTTTAGTGTTCTCCACAGTGTGGCACTCCGTTACACATGTGTTACTGCCAGTCCCTGCCCGTCTGGTGTGAGTGCTCTGAGTGAATGTCATGTCCCTGCTGTACCCCTGCACTTGGCACAGTGCCTGCCATGCAGCAGGTGCTGGTAAATGTTGGCTGAACAAATGAATGGATGAATCGTGTGAAGTTCTGCTCCTCGGGCTCAGTCCAGAGGGCTGATGTCTCCTCCTACGTGCTCCAGGATCTGTCAAGTGGTCCCTGCTGCTTCACTCCTGTGAAGAGCCTCCCTTACCAGTGTTCGCATGAAGGAGCCAAATGCATGGGGTGGGGCTGGGTGGGGGCCTAGTGTGGGGACAGGGCAGGACACTCTTGGCTTTGGGTATGGATGAGGACAATGAGGCTCAGAGAAAAAAGGGCTGGACCTAGGGTGTTGGGGCCAGGGCCTGACCCAGGTCTTCTGCTGCCTGGACTGGAATTTGCACCTCACCACCATGGGACCACAAGAGTCTGGGTGCTCCCATGTCCCTCCCCATTCTGCCCAGGCTGCAGCACAGCCTCTGCTCTGGGTTTTTGCCTGGGGCTGACCCGTGGCCTGGGGCTGACCCGTGGCATGACGCCTCTGTCCATTTTGCTTTGTGCTCCTTCTAGCCAAGCACAGTGCTCACAGGTGCTCAGAGGCTTGGCTACCCCAGGTTTCCTTCCTGGAGAGTTCGGGAGAGCAGCATGCTGACCTGCCTCCTCCAGTGTTACTGCACATGGGCCATGGTGAGCAGCAGCAAGAGCACCTTTGCCGCCACACAACAACTTAAGTTTTCTGAGGCTAGTGTGGGAGAGATAGCACAAGGCTGCCTTCGTTGCCTCCAGGAAAGAAGCCGCACACATGTGGTCACACACAAGATGACTACATTCAGCATTCCTAAATTGCTATATTCAGCATTCCTGTCCCACCGGCCTCTCTGCAGGGCAGCCTTGTCAAGTCCATCCAGTTACCTGCAAATTCCTGGAACTGTCCTAGAAGCTCCTGAGGTCCAGACTGAAGCACTTTTCCTCCTGAGACTCCAGGAAACAAAAGGCCTGAGAGGCTAGGGACAGAGGGAAGAATCCATTCCCTGTGTCCCAAACCCACAGTCCCATGCCAGGCCCCTGCAACAGTCCAGGTGACCAGCACAGAGCACAGCAGCTCACCCTGCTCAGCACAGACAGCACAGACCGCACACCCCACGAGGGCAGGCCTTGTTCTTGCTGCACGAACCTGGGCCTTGGCCAAAGCCAAATGTGTGTTGGGCAGGGAGGGTAGGTACACTACAAAGATGAGTAACGAGCAGCCCCTTCAGAGGGAGAGCAAAAACATTCCCAGAAATGAGGGAGCAGACCTAGGGCAGAAAGTGACACCAGCTTCTGAGGGGGAGAAATTATGTCTTATTCACCTCCTGTCTCAGAAAATCAACGTCTGTTAGAGGAACACACAGGAAGACTTTTAAACCAGATGCCAGCATCTCCTCATTCCTAGAGAATGAGGCTTACTCAAGGTGCATATTATATCCAAGCACCGCCAGGCCATCCACACCCCCACTGCACCCCCTAGATGGATGCTCCCAGGCTGCGGCGATTACTGCTCTCAGATGTCCACGGCCCAGAGGCACAGAGGCACCAGCTAAGCATCATCCCCAGAAACAGGCAACTCCATCCAAATAGGGGGCTGCAACTCCATCTGAATTGGGTGGTTACCCAATGCCCTGGCTGTGCCCTAGGGAAAAGTGCCTGGAAGCGCAGCCCCAGGCTGCAAGGAGCCTTCCCCAGTCTTTAAAGTTAGCTTTTCCCCAGGCCCACCCCAGCTCATGGGGTCATGGAACTGCTTCACTTTTACAGATGAGGAAGCTGTGGTCTCCACCACAGCCACAGCTAACAAGCAGTGGGGTCATTCTGCTCCCCAGCTCCCTTAGCCCCATGCAGCCCCCACCAGACTTTCCCGCCATACCTCCTACTCCTCCCCAGGCATGCCCAGTGCTCCCATCAGACCTAACTGCCCAAGTGCCTCGGCCCATTCTCCTCTCTGCCCTCAATATCCACCCTAGCTGTGCCCATGTCCTTCAAGCTCCAGTTCAAATGTCATATTGCCCACAGGCTTGCCTGATCCCCAGCCCAGGGCACCTCTCTGAGGTCCCTCCCAAGGCCCCTGTACCTGCGCTCAGGCTGGGTTTGACCGAGTGGAGACGTCTTCCCCTATGGGGTGGGGAATCAGTCCTGGGAGGGCAGACCCAGTTCACTCCCACCCGGTACACCCCAGCACCAGGCCCTGGGGGAGTGAGCACTCAGTAAATATTTGTTTAATTGAATTTGGCCAAGGAGCCTTCTCCACAGAGCTCAATCCCCAGGGCAGGGAAATCACTTGGGCAGAAAGGAGCCGGTCGGGGGGCTCAGCTGTCGCCCCAAGCAACACAGTCCTTTCTACCATGCGGGTCCCTCAACCCCAACACGGACTCCGGGGACCGCTGGTCTTGCTTGGCATCATCCTCGTCTCAGTAACAGGAGCCCTAATTCTCGGCCTAGGCCGAATCCTGCCATCATCACTCAGAAAGGCTCAGCACCGCCCTAAAGGCAGAGCCCCCTCGGATCGCCCGCAGGATATGGAGCGCCAGCCCTGAGGCCCTCACTTCCCTCCCCCAAACACCCCCACCGCCTTTTAAGGGAAAAAATATTGAGCCAGGAACATATTACAATCGCAGTGGGTCAATACTCATCTCTTGCTCTAAATGCCTGAGGAACCTGCTCGCTGCAAGAGCAGTGACCGAGAACTGCGAGCCGTCTGTCTCCGGGCCCCGGTCCTCCGGCCCAGGCCTCTGGGGCCCTTTCCTCGGTTTAGGGCAAGGCCCTGCGTTGGCTCCGGCAGCCCCTCCCTGATCCCCCCTAGAGAGACCCGCCTCAGCGCCCGGCCCGCCTGGGCTCCGCACCAGCCGCTGCTCGGGGGCGCCCGGCGGCCCCGCGCGGCATCCCCGGCGCCCTCTGTCCACCCTCCCGGGCCCGCAGCCGCCCCCTCCCGCAGGGTCCTCGGCTTGGCGGCGCCACCCTCTCCCAGCACCTGCCCGACCGGAAGCCGCCCCCTGCCCACCTCGCAGACGTCCCCGCCCTTGCTGTCCCCCATCCCTGCCGGGCATCCCTGACGCTGCGCCCCGGCAGATCCAGGGCACAAAGGCCCGGGAGGAGTCCCGAGTGGGGGCGAGGTGGACGCCCCGGCCGTGCCCCCGACCCCCGAGGCTCTGAGGCGCGCGCCCGGCCGCGGGTCAGCTCACTCACCTCCGGGCCGCGGCACCGAGCATCTGCTGGGCTGCTCAGGGCAGGGCGGGGCGGGGCGGGGCGGGGCGGCGAGCGCGGGGCCGCGGCGCCTTCGTTCCGTACGACGCGGGCGGCGGCGCCCACGCGGGGACGTGACCGGACCGCGGGCGGCGCACACGCTCCGGCCGGCCTGGCTCCCTCCGCCCGCCCTCCCGCGCCGCCCGCAGCCCGCCGCCCGCCCGCGGGTCCGCCCGCCCCGCGCCGCGCCGCCGCCGGCAGGGGGCGGAGTCGCGAGCGCAGCCCGTTGCTAGGCCAACCGCGGGCCGGGGGTGCCGCGCGCCCGCTGGGCACCACGCGCCGGGCCCCTCCGCCCCGCCACAAGCGCTGGCCCTCTGTCCATTGGGCAAAGGCGGCTGACGGACGGGCCAGTAGCCCAATGGGGGCGGACGGGGGCGGGGTCGCGGCTCCGCGCGCGCCGCAATCCCGCACGCGCTCGCCGCGCCGGCGTCCCAGAGACTCCGCTGCCCTGAGGCCTGGTAGCCGAGCCAGCGGGGCCACTTCGGCCTGAGGGCAGCCTTGGCCCTGGCGTCTTTTACCGCAGCCAGTCCCGGCTCACCTTCTCTCTACTCGGGTTCAAACCCAGCTCGGCCTCTTGTGAGCTCTGCGTCCTTGGGCAACTGACTGACCTCTCCCAGCGTTTCTGTTTGTAAAGTGGAGCTAGTGGCACCTGCTTCCCTGGATTGTCTCACCACTCCTTCCCCGAACGCGTGAAAGGCCTATGCAAACCCTAAAGATTTGCACCGGTGAGGTTTGTGCAGCGATGGGAGGGGGCGTTAGTCATCTCTGCTGCTCTCCCCCCACGGCGTGTAGGGGCTCTTTGGCGTCCCTGGCAAGCCTAGCCCACGGAAAGGTGGCCTTGGGAGGGAAGGGAGGGAGAAGGGCCCAGGAGCTGGCCCCCAGCCCAGACAAGCGCGAGGGAGCCAGTTCAGTTAAGGCCATTGGCGCCTTTGGGAAGCTCGTAGAAGGCATCAGACCCTCAGCAAAATGCAGCTGAACACAGGCTGCAAAATTCTGCTTTCAATTTCAGAGCCTATCTGTGGACCTCAGGGCCAGGAGCCCCTCAGTTCCATGCTTAAAAGACTCTGAAGCCAGAGGGCCAAGACATGAATGCCGCTCTCTGCCTTCATCTTTGTAACCTGAAGCTTTGTGTGTCCTAGAGCATCCCTGGCAAAGTGCAGATGCCTTCCCAGCTAACATCTTCCTTATCACCTTACACCTTTGTGGTCAGTTTATGTGGATCATGCCATTCTTTGAGCAGAAGCCCTGGAACTGGCCACAGCAGAGGTTGATAGAGTGGTCCCTCCATCCCAGCTCTGTAGGGGAGAGGCAGGGGCATGTGCCTGGCTTTGCCAGCTGGACACTGTGGCATCTCAGCATCATTCCATAACCTCTCTGGGAATGTTTCCTCTGCTGTGAGATGGAGACCATTGCATTATGTACCGGCAGGGTCGTGGGCCACCTGTGAAGGTGCTGCCTAAACTGTCAGGAACAGGACATATTTGTTATGGGCACCGTGGAGGCAAACCTAGTACTCGCAGGAGGTGGCCAGTGAGGACCAAGGGAATTCAGCCAATGGCTTAGGGGCTACTCTTTGTGCTTGCCCTTCACATTACCAGGCTGTGTCAGGCTGGACATCTCCCCAGGAGGACCACACAGAGACCAGCATTTGTGCTACCTGGCTCAGCCTCCATTTCCTCTTCTGTCAAAAGGGGATGTAACAGACTGCAGTCAGAGGATGGTTCTGAGGGTTAATGTACATAGGAAATGTACATTAGCGTGTCTTAGGATAGCCAGAGGCTGCTTCCACTTCAGAGTCAGGGGGTCAGAGCTGAGTTGTTTGCAGGGGTAAGCCCGCGTGCAAGAGTGGGATGGCCCTTTCCAGTGGTCCAGGCATAGAGGCTAGCCTGTGGAGGGGTCCACTGGGGCTGGCTGCCACCTACCTGACTTGACCCTGGTGACCACCTCAAAGTAAGAGAGGGGCATCTCACCTGGCATCAAACCAGTATCGTATTCACACAGCAGTCACTTACAGATAGCTTTCTTCCCCAGGGTATGTTGTAGACACAGTTGTAGGATTCAGACTGCCCCTTTTCTGGCAGACTCTCCGCCTGTAGCGCAGGGGCAGAAGAGAAACAAGAATTGGTCACTACAGTCATATGAGGCTATCTGAGGAGACCCAGTGGGGCTCTGGGGGCATGTGGAGCGGGGGAGCATTGGGCATTGGGCCAGCTTCCCAAAGGAAGAGATGCTTGGAATGAGGCCATAGTAGGAGTGGAAATGGCCAGTGACATAGGGTGGGAGAGAAGTGAGTTCCAAGGCAGGGAGGGTGCAGGATGTGAAGGAGCGTGAGGCCAGGAAGAACCCAGAGAAGGGCCAGGTGCGGTGGCTCACGCCTGTAATCCCAGCACTTTGGGAGGCCGAGGTGGGTGGATCACGAGGTTAAGAGATGGAGACCATCTGGCCAACATGGTGAAACCCTGTCTCTACTAAAAATACAAAAAATAGCTGGGCATGTTGGCACGTGCCTGTAGTCCCAGCTACTCAGGGGGCTGAGGCTGAAGAATCGCTTGAACCCAGGAGGTGGAGGTTGCAGTGAGCCGAGATTGTGCCACTGCACTGCAGCCTGGCGACAGAGCAAGACTCTGTCGCAGAAAAAAACAACAACAACGACAAAAAACAGAGAATACCAGTGTGGCTGGGGCCAGTGCCCATGCACAGATGCCAGCTAGGGACAGTAGATTGGGAATGTTGGCCTAAGAACCACTAGAGAGTTTTAACTTTAGTATTTTAAATTTGAGAAAGAACAGAAGTTTTTGTTTTCTATTTATAGTAGGCATGCTCCCACAGACAATGTGAGTTGTCCTATAATCAAATAACAAAAACATCAGTTAGTCCATAGGAAATGGGAGTGAGCACAGAAGGCAGTCTGTGAGGCCAAGTTCAGTGTAGGGTCCGCTGTGGCTGTGAGATGGCAGGGAGTCCAAGAGCATGCTGGGAGACAGTGGCGGGGCATTATCAGGGCCCAGGGAGATGAGACAAGGGGAGAGGGTGGGGACCACTGGAGGAAGAGGTGGTGCTTACCAAAAAGATGGAGGAGCAGTTGGAGAGGTGATCAGGAACCACAGAATGGAGAGCACCAGAGCCACAGGAAGAGAGCAGGGGGTGAAGGAAGAAGCTGTTAATCATGCTCCCAGCTACTGGGAAGCCGAGAAAGCTGAGAACAGAGAAGTAGCCCTTGGAGCAAAGGCAGCCCCAGTGGGCATCAGTGGGCCGTGAGTTCAGGGCACAGGGACACAAAAGGCTAAAGCTGGACAGGTGGGTCACCTGTGGCAAGGTGGGCCCCAGATGCCATATGTGGATGTGCAGTCCCATGGCAGGAAAGGAAGGGTGTGGCTGTGACCAGAACCTGGGTACAGATACTGTCCTCAGCCCTCATTGGCTGGGAGACAACAGCTGGGGCTTTGCAGTAGCCAGAGGAAGGGGGCCATGTTGACAGCCCACTCAGCACTTCCCCAACCCAGCAAGTACAGCTGGCTGAGGAGTGGCCCCTCAACATGGTATCAGTGCCAGCACCCACCCCCACAGCCTGCCACAAAGAAAATGACCCAACCCCCACCACTGGGGCTCCATGCCATAGGCATTCATGACCCCTTAATCACAGTAGATCTCTTTGACTCATCAACCACTGAACCCCTGCTTATCAGCCAGGCCAGATCGGGTTGCCCAGCCAGGTCAGCCCAAACACACACCTTTGTTCCCCTGCTGTTCTGGACTCTCCTCTACCTCCATGAGACCCAGATTCCCTGGGGCCTCTCTTTGTGCACCTCCAGAGCCCCTAGGACCTTGGAATTCCTGGTCTACACACGTGTCAACCTGTTCTATAATGACCTGTCCCCAGCTGACTCTTCCACTAGTTTTCCCACTTCCCGGGGGGTGGGGTGGGCATGTGTTGCTTGTCTCTAAACCATGGATGGCCCAGAGCCTGGCCTGCTCTGGTGCCACCCCATCCTGGCTGGTTCTCTGTGCCCCACCTGTTCTACCACCCCCGCAACTACCCCCACCCCCAGCGGACTCTCAGGCTGCCGCCCAATTGGGTGGGTTTCCCAGATTGTTTCCCTGGGGTCTGCGTGCCCCACCCCCATTTGAGCAAACCATCGCAGATCTGGGTTAGTTATAAATAGCCAGGCCTGAGACTCTTCTTTTAGCTGAAAAGAAGCAAAGTGAACGAGCAGAAAGGCACACCCGGCACGCGTTTTATTTTTAATCTTCTCCCTCTGTCTCAAAACGAACCCCAGTCCCCGTGCTGAGCATTTCTAGGAGCAGAAGTCCAAGACAAATGACTGAGAAAACCCAAGGAGCTGAGGGCCATGCTTGGCTTTGCCACCATCTGCTGTGTGACCTTGGGTATTCAAGTTGCCTCTCTGGCCCTCACTTTCCTCATCAAGGAGAGGTGGGCAATGGAGGTGATCACCTTGAATATTGACTTTTCTGACCTCAGCTCTCTATCCCTCCTTCAGCTCTGCCCCCCACTCAGGCAGCAGCTCCAGTAGTGACACTTGTCCCAGGGATTTCCTGGGAAGCTCAGATAGTTGCAGATGAGGCCACAGTCTAGTCCTGATTTGAAAATTAACAACTTCCTCACCCCCAGATCTTTGTTCAGGTGTCCCCATCCCAGAACCTTGACCATCCATCTGCCAGCAAAACTTGTAAAAGGTCAAATTGTCACCTCCCTGCTGTGAGCTGGAAGAGGGCCGTCCAGGTCACCACTAATTGGCTCCATAGCCAGGAACGGGTAGGGAGACTATGGGCAGAACCTGAGGGGGAAGCAGAGTGGGAGCAGGAGGCCAGGCATGTGGCCTGGGCAAAGCAGAGAGCTGAGCAAGAGAATGGATCCGACCCCTAGGAGAGGTGGCGGGGGCTCTGCACTGACAGGCTCTGCAGGGTTCAAACTGTGCAGCATTTGTCTTGTATCTCACCCCTCAGGCCCTTGCTTATAGCTGGGACTCGGTGTTGGTGAAATTCAGGAGATTCTTGCCACCCTAGGCCCACATGTTCTGGGCACACAGGGACAGACCCTTATATGGATGAGGAAATCCATGGCACGCGGAACTCATTTTCATCCATAACCCCCTGCCAGGTAGGCTCATTTAAGGGATAAGCAAACTAGGCTCAGAGAGGTT